GCGGATTCCGACTTCCATGGCCACCGTCCTGCTGTCTGTATCAACCAACACCTTTTATGGTGTCTAATGAGCGGGCACTTTGGCACCTCAACTCCGCGTTTGGTTCATCCCACATCGCCAGTTCTGCTTACCAAAAATGGCCCACTTGGAACTCGTATTCAACGCCAAAGTTCAAAATCAAGCAACTTTGACATCATACCCATTTAGAGTTTGAGAATAGGTTAAGAACATTTCGTTCCCAAGTCCTCTAATCATTCGCTTTACCGAGTATAACTACTAATGAGCTCCAGCTATCCTGGGGGAAACTTCAGAGGGAACCAGCTACTAGATGGTTCGATTAGTCTTTCGCCCCTATACCCAAGTCAGACGATCGATTTGCACGTCAGAACCGCTTCGGACTTCCACCAGAGTTTCCTCTGGCTTCGTCCTGCTCAGGAATAGTTCACCATCTTTCGGGTCTCACCGCGTACGCTCTTCCTCCACCCTACTGTAAACAGTTAGAATGGGGCCATGCTGCCCTTTTTTACAAGATCGCACGTCAGACTCTAAAGAGCCATTTACTTTCATTTCGCTTTTAGGTTTTTAACACCCAAAAACTTGCGCACACGATAAACTCCTTGGTCCGTGTTTCAAGACGGGTCGGATAGATGACCGGCTTTTACATGGGGAGCGAGTACGAGAGCATTAACTGGACCGATCTAAATGAAAAGCACGTGTCGCATGCGACCGTAACTTACAATCAGATCGAACCAATAAATGCCCGTAAACCATACTCAAATGTCCAAGACAAAAGATGCTAACGCTGTTTGGGTACCAGCAAGCTGGCCTCAAAACGGCGGTTACAAATCTGCCTCAAACATCCCCAAGCACCAAACAAGCAAATGCATCACAGAAAATTATGATGCTTCTTTCTGTCCCAATCTGGAGCTCAGAGATCACAACATAAAAATAATGTAAATGAATACTTGAAAGATACGCCGACTCTATCCGTTTCCACCTCTCCGGTTTACGTCCTCTTTAACTCTCTCTTCAAAGTGCTTTGCAACTTTCCTTCACAGTACTTGTTTGCTATCGGTCTCGTGGCAATATTGAGTCTTAGATGAAGTTTACCACCGACTTTGGGCTGCGATCCCAAACAACCCGACTCTAAAGCACGTAAATATCGATCAATTATCTCAATGTACAGGACTTGCACCTTCTGTGGAACCCCTGTCAAGGGGACTTATTTGAGACAAAAGATTAAAAATTACGGCTTATACGCTACACCTCATAATGCCTTAGGCAAAATGATTTAGCGATGGACATTTCCCTATTCACTCGCCGTTACTAGGGGAATCCTGTTTAGTTTCTTTTCCTCCGCTTACTGATATGCTTAAGTTCAGCGGGTGCTCTCGACTGAGTTCAGGTCAAAAAATCAATATTGTTGATGATACATGCGAACAATTAAACATATCTAACAATCAATTTAAAACATAAAGAAGCCACAAACGACACTTGGTCAATTGCACTTTGGTCTACTTTGCCTGAGGCAATTTTTAATCGGATCGTCACAGACTCATAAACCAAAAATGCCTGGTGAAATTTGATTGCCTGGGTCTACTTTTGACAATGCACTCTGGCCTACGGCACTTGGATAAACATGTCTATAGTATATAAAAAAGACAAATCATCCGATCAAGGGCTAAGTCTCAGCAGATCGCAGCGAAGAGCTGCTCTACTGTTTACAACCCCCTGACCAGTATTCAAGTCGTATACAAGTGATTTTGCGCCCCGACGTTACACCTGCACGTGGAGTGCACTCTGATTTGTTCAAAGTAAACTTGCAATGACTGTTAAAAATCCTGTTAAGGACTCAAAACCGAACATTACGATAAATCGATAACACCCAGAAACACCCGAAGGGTTCCAAGGTACCGATACGAATCCAACTACGAGCTTTTTAACCGCAGCAATAATTCTATGTATTAGCAGAGCTGGAATTACCGCGGCTGCTGGCACCAGACTTGCCCTCTGCTTGATACTCGTTAAAGGGTTTAAATTGTACCCATTCCGATGACCGGCCTCAAAGAGAACAGTCTCGTTATTTCTCGTCACTACCTCCTCGAGCCGAGAGTGGGTAATTTGCGCGCCTGCTGCCATCCTTAGACGTAGTGGCCATTTCTCAGGCCCCTTCTCCGGAGTCGAACCCTGATCCTCCGTTATCCGTCACCACCACGGGAGTCGATTATGCTCCCGTCAAGTTGATAAAGTGGACGCTTGAAAGACACGCCGCCGGCACAAGGCCATGCGGTCAGCTTAGTTATTCTGAGTCAACAAGAAGCAGCCGAAGCCGCGTGGTTTTGTTCTAATAAATGCGCTTTTCCGAGAGGACAAAGCTCTGGTGCATGTATTAGCTCTAGCTTTTCCACAGTTATCCATTTAGATAATCAAGATCAAGTAAATCATGGCCATTGTAATGAGCCGTTCGCGGTTTCTCGTTAAAACGATTAAACTTATACAT